AGCCATGGTGCTACTCTACATGGGATGCCCATCACGAGTGGATGCAAAACATTTTCAAAACTTACGAGGAAAATGAGACAAAAGAGGTGGCAGAAATCTGGGTACGTCCCTGAACGGTGCTCTGAAGACGCTTAGCAATTTGAGCTTAAGGAGACGATATTTCGGGCCAGGGATATAGCTCAGTGGCAGAAGTGCCTGCCTGGCAAGTGCAAGGTCCTAAGTTCAATTCCGGGTACCAAAAAAAAAAAAGAGATTGACTTCATAACTGCAGGTTACGGGAGCTGCTCTGCCCATTCTCACCAAAAGAACAGTGACCTCCGGGGCAGAGCAGGAACTGGCCCACTTGTTGGTGCTCTAGGGAACTCTGCTATAAACCTCTGTCTCCCATACTTTTCTGTTGAGAATTTCCTGGTGTTCTCGTGGGTATGTATAGGTAGCTGTAGGGGCCGGTACCAGGAATCTTTAGATCAATCCCCCAGGCAACTCAGCCTGCTCCATAGAAGGAAGAAAACATGGACTTAAGCATATAAAAAGAGCATTTTTTTGTTCTCTTGACACACTGCTTTCTGTAGTTCAGACTGGCCTTGAACTCAGGTGTCTCTCCTGCTTCAGCCTCCTGAGTGCTGGGTTACAAGTATTGAGAAAGAGGATTAAGTAGGGTTGGGTTCTCCTCTGGAAGGGCCCTCCCCTGTTCATATCCACTCTCCTGGTGGAATATGGAGTCAAGTGTTTGATTCTGCAGTGGACTCCAAGTTCTAGGGAGCATGAGTCAGATGGGGGCCAAATTAGGAATGCAGATTCCTGGGATCTTCTGCAGAAATCAGTTCAGTGGTTACAGGCGGTTTACAAGCATGCGGTCTGTGAATGCCCCAGGTGGCAGGGTTCGAGCTCTGTCCACACAGCCTCTCCTGGGACTCACAGGCTCTGCTGAGTTGCCTGGGGATTTATCTAGATTCCTGCAAGGGACTGCTGATGTAACAGAACCCACATCAGGAACTGCCTGAGATTGTTGGGGTAGGGGAGATAGATACCTGTTCACACCCACAAGATCGCCAGGAGAGTCTCGCCAGGAAGTCTGGGAGAAGGGCTTATAGCAGAGTTCCCTAGAGCAAGTGGACCAGCGCCTGCTCTCCCCCGGAGGTCACCATTCTTTTGGTGAGAATGGGCAGAGCAGATCCCTTGACTGTATTAACCCAGAATTATTGGTAAGAACAGGAGCAGCTGTGTCTATCCACAGCTCTAGCTGCAAAAGTTTTGCTAAAGCTACAAATTGGGAGGGCCAAGGAAAGCTGAAGCAACAATGCCTCTTTTTTAAAAGTCACAATGATTTTCATGTTGGTATAAAACAGCCAGTGACTTGGACCTGAGAGCTTTGCCCATTTAAGCACAAAACGTGGAAGATGTTTTCTGGATCCCTACAGCCAGAGATTTCCAGCCAATATGGTTGCTTGGCTAATGTTCTCAAGTCTGTGGACTGTGTTCCTCCCCTACCCCAAGCAGATGGAATGCGTTCCTCTGGCATGAACGACTGAAGCGCAAATCCTTTCTTCCCCAGATGCCCCACCTCCAGGGAGGGGTCACATTTACTGCCATGATGGGCTTCAGACCCTGTTTCCTGTTCCAAGACCCTCACCCAGGGCATGGCAGCACTGCAGAGGACGGAGCTAAGCACTTTCCTGGGGAAGCCACTTACCACACAGGGTCTTGGGGGGGCACAAACTCAACAGGAACCCAAGAGACATGGGCAAGTTGGCACGAAAAGCCGAATTCTTTCAATTCTAAGCAAATCAGAGCACCTGTTCTAATACTGAACAAAATGAATGAAAATCAAGCCATAAGCCGGCTTTTAAATGCTTCCCTCTGAAGCAAGTGCAGTCAATGCAGGGGAAGCACTGTCACCTGCGAGGGAAACCTAACGAGGAGCCAGGGCTCTGGTCCAGCAGGAACTTCCCTCCGCTCAAAGGTTTGTAAAGGCCCCGTGAACACTGTGGTGAGATGGCAGCACGTCAGTGTCACGACTGAGGCTGATGCACAGCCACCAAATACAGAGGTTAGACAGGTGCTCACTGGCTTGTTAGTGACTGTAGGTCATTGCAGTTCCTTCCTGTGCCATTTGGGCAAGTGTCCTTACACGTTCAGATTAAAAAGACAAGAGCGAACTCATGGAGTAGTCCCATTTTCAGATGCTTCTTAATACAAAGCAGATGATGGAAGCAAAGCCCAGTGAGTGAAACTGCTCTCCCTTTTAATCAGTTTTACACAACAATGCCACACAGCCATCACACTGGGAGATAGGACGGGGTTCCTGCTCACATACAAGGTGGCACAAGCTCACCAATTGAGGATTAAGGTGCTGCCAGTTTTGAGGAGAGGCAGTGCAAACCTTTTTAATACAAGAAAGCACAGGATGGTACGGTCAAGAAGACTACTACCTCGCCAGAGACTGACACGTGGGGAACAACGCCCCGGCCGCCTTCCTCCCTCCTGAGCTTGCCCTCTCTCTGCTGGGCTCTGCTGTGGCACACACCGCTCCCCTGGGGTTTACAGCTCTGCCGCAGACTCTACCTTCATTTCTCCAAGTGCTCGCACAAGTGATAAAGCCAGTCCTGACACTCTGCTTCTCAGTAACCTATCGTAGCTTACACTGCACATACAGAAGTCTTACTGGCAAAGCTCTCCAGCATTTTGGAATTTGAAGTATCTCAAATCTCTCATCAGTATTACTCCACTCACTAAAAATGTTTTGCACTTCAAAGAGACTCTGATCACCCTCCCCTCCGAAGTTATACTAATTACATGCAGCTCCAACTCACCAGACTTAAAGGAACTGGAAAGAGGGAAAACACACCTTTCTTGAAAGAAAACAGCGAAGGAGAGGCAGAAGAGTGGCCAGGCTCTTCTGAGGACAGCAAGGGCACCGCGTTCCCATCACGTATGTGTGACCCACTGTGGAGTCTGACCAGTGCCCCTGTCTCCCCGCGCCAGACCTGTCACAGCAGGTGAAGGCGTTTGCAGACCTCACACCTGTAAAACACATCGTTGACTTTCACTCGGCCCAAACCGGAAGGCATGGCCAGCAACAGGGAGGCGCTGCCTGGGTTGGGCATAGCTGGGTTCAGGTTCTCGTGGCAGGAACACAGCTCCATACTGTGTGGGCCATGTTTTTGTTCTCTTGCTTACGCACCCCAGGGATGTGGATTTGTGACATCCACTGAAAACAAAGATGTCTACGTCCCCCAAAAGCCTTCCTCTTCCTACAGCAATTTAATTCTCTGTATGAAAAGGTTTTCCTAATCAGGTCTTTACAGAGAAAAGGCAGAACAAAGCACTTACTGTGAATTTTACCTAACGTGGAATAAGAAAATAAAACAAAAAAATTATTTTTTGAGGCAAGGTTTCACTATGTAATTCAGGCCGGTCTTGAACTCACTATGTAGCCCAGGCTGGCCTCAAACTCACAGCAATCCTCCTGTCTCAGACTCCTAATGAGTGCTGGCATTACAGGCTGGCACCACTATACCCAGCTCACGTTTACCACTTTTATTAAAAAATAACTCTACAAGGAAACATAATCTTTAATCTGTATTTCTATTGCTTGCAGAAGAATATTAATAAAAAGCACAGATTTTTCTTTTCCTAACAAGAAGTCCTACAGGAACTTCATGAATTCTGTAAGACTTCAGTGAGCTGAGCCACTGTTCACCCGCGAACAGCCATCACTCTGTAAATTCTGTCCTAGCTAGCGGCTACTGGAGGTTTCCCCGAGGGTGATTTTGTACTTTTGCCTTCATGTAAAACAAGTACTGGAAAGAAGTATAGTAAGAAGCATTTGAAGAACAACTATTCCTCTTTCCTGAAAAAACAAAATCAAGTCACATCCTGTCTCACACAGGTAGGAGTGACCACCTTCTGACCACTGGAGATTGGTCTGCCCTCTGAAGCGGAGGCCCCAGAGCTCAGACCCCTCCTACCAGTTAGTCCAACAGGAATGAGGGGGCCCGGGGCATACTCTGCCTGCTCCCTCTGGCCAGACTGTCCTCTCCAC